GGTACTTCAGTAGATCATCCATCCAATGATCATCGGCATTTACCGTGTTGGAACATGACCGGTCAGTTTGTTTGACTGCCACAATCATTGAGATTTCCAATTTTTCAATACTAGCCCGATCTAGCACCTTGACCCGGGTAAGTTTTGAAACATGATCCGGTGCATACTGTGTCAACTTTGAAAGGAGATCAGCATCCGCGTTCTCCGCCCGGAGGATTTGAGCTATCTAAAACTCAGTGAACCCTTTTAACATGGCAAACACTAAGTCTTTATACTGCACCACTCGTCCCTCCCGTGCCTCCATGGTACCGGTCACCTGCCCCACAATGAAGCTGGAGTCAGATTTTATACTTACTCGGTTGATTTTTAAGGCTTGGGCAAGTCAGAGTCCTCCAGAAAGAGCCTCATATTCAGCTTCATTGTTTGTTAATTTGAAGTTGAAAATAAGGGGCATGAAATATTTTGGAACCTTCCGGGATGGCCAACTGGTGTTCGGATCGGTTTTTATATCTTTCAATTTTTAATTTTTGTATTTTTTTCACAATCTTTAATAAGTTTTTTAATTTCTTTTATTAATTTTTATTTTTAGTTTTTTAATAGTTACGGAGTACTATTTAGTTGTTTTAATGTTTTTGTTTTTTATCTTCACTTTTAAATTTTTTTAAATTTTCTTTTTTAACCTACAGTTTTAGAAAAAGCCTCTCCTTTTTTTAATCTTCAAGTTTTAATTTTTCTTTAAAATTTTCACAAGTTTTTAGTTTTTTCATTTCGTTTTTTATTTATTTTTCAAATTTTTTTAAATAAAGTCTGCAGTATTTAAGTAATACTACAGACTTTCGAAGTTTTTAGTTTAAGTAATTTAAATTAAATTGAGTGTTAAAAAATTAAATATATTATAATAATGATGAGAATGAAAAAAGAAGTACAATGAAATACTGACGTAGCACTAAGTTGATAAAGGGAGGGGGGGGGGGGGTTTAAGAGGGACACCGGAATTTACGAGGCGATTCATGTAATATTGTCTAATAATGTAATGAGATGATCCGGAGACGCTATAGTGTCACGTTAGTAAAATTGACGGTTCTCCCTCCTAAACCCCGACAATCCTCCTCACACCCGGAGTGAAAATAAGGGCATGATATATAGTTCATTGTAATCTTTCATATTTTTTTACACGGAGAAAAGTGTGCTTTAAATGGTAATAAAAGTTCTTGGCACTTTTACACATTAACAACGTTACCTTTTACTCCGTATGTCATAAGAGCATCTCCAATCACGTTTGCTAAACATGACTAGCTAAAGTTATTTATTAATATGTGAATAGTGGTATAGTAAGTCATTTTATATGATCATCTCCAATCTTTGCTTTCTATAATTTAGCAAAAATGTATTGATTTCACTATTAGAGTACACTATTTATTATAATTTTCAAATTTTATTATAAAAATTAATTAATATTCTACAAATATGCAATTTAAACTTAAAATAAAATAAATTTTATAATTTTTTTGGTAAAAAATAAAATTATTTTCTTTGCAAAAAACATAAAATAATATTTATTAATTTTTCTTGCGTTGTGGTACTGAAAGTGAGGAAACAAATGCGTCATGTCACATGAAAAAACTAACCCAACCAACATTTTTCTTTTTCTTTTTGGCTTGCTATATTTTATCAAGTTTGTTATTAGAAGCAAGCCATTTTCATTTTTAAGCAAACTTGTCAAACATTAGCAAGTCCCTTGGAGTATGAAATTTTACTTAATTTGTCAAATTATAGCATATACCAAGTCATTTTAACATGGTTGGAGATGCTCTAATAATTTTAGAGGGTGATAGTACCATTTAAATGGTAATTAACGTTCTACACGGAATTACATATTAATTACATTACCTTTATTTGTTATTAATAAATAAATATTTTTACACGATAAATGAATTATGTTACCTTTTTACGTCATAAATAAATAAATAAACATTTTTACGCATTCATAATAAACTTTCCTAACAGTTAAACTTTTTTACACGGTGGAATAATTACGTCATAAATAAATAAATAAATAAATACTCCGTATTTTTTCACGGTCAAAGTCTCATTTAAATGGCAATAAATGTCATACTCCATCCGTCCTATATCTTTCTTTCCGTTGCGCAATACGAAGAAAAATCCTAAGTTTTTTCAATCTATTTTATTTAAATATTGATATAGAAATAAAAAATAAAACATACATATTTAAAAACTACATCAAAAGTTCAACAAAACAAGTGGTGACAAGAATATTTTATTTTATCATATAGGCAATGAAAAAACACAAATAAATACTCCGTATAAATTCCCGTGAAGTTCGAATAGTGTTCTGGGAAGAAAATTTTAGGATGGAGGGAATATTAATTATCGTTACTTTTTACCTTTCACATGATCAAAGTCTTATTTAATTATATTTATTTATTATTTATTATGACTATGATATGATTATTATATTTAAATGGTAATAAACGTTTCTGACAATTTTATGTTACCTTTTATATTTTACAAAGGAATATTATAATTCTTTATTTAACATCTATTTTATTTAGAGAATCTGTTTACTTACCGTAACTGTATTCCTCTATGTACTGAGCTACAATTGACCAGGGATCGAGTTCTGCAAACAGCAGTGTGGGAGCTATCCTAAAATCTCATAAAGGGTGAGGAGGCTCCTTGTGCGCGGTGGGCACGGGTCTAGCGTTCTTAGCCGACTGAAGCACCGTGATTTACCTCCTCCACCATCCCTGTCGGGCCAGGGGGTGGGGGCGCCTGAGGTGGGCGATTCCACTTTTTGGACCGACAAAGTTAATATTTTTAATCCATTATGTTTTAACACTTAGAGGATGATTGTGAGTGTTTAACTTGTGGATAAAGTGATTTCCACAAAAGTTAAAAGCAAAAGCACTTCATACATGCTTCTCCGAAACGGTGTTCTATGTACAAAATAGTGATGGTGAAAAGCAGAAACTGACATGCCAGTAAAATCACTTCCACTCAAAGCAGAAGCTAAATTATTAAAAGCAGCGCACTGCCAAACACCCTCTAACTATTCCTATCACAATTTCATGGGCGGGAAATCAATGAACCAAAGTTCTTCTCGTTTTAAATAAAGGATGAATTAAAACTTTTGTGGAGCTTAATAACTAGATGCACGGTTGAAGCACGCAAAAAAACAATAAAAAAAACTTTTGAAAATGTAAATATTTAAAGAAAAGTAGCAAAAAACTTGCCTAATAAAAAGTAATGTGACTATTTAAAAACCTTTTGGTGGTATTTTTGAACATTTTAGAGAAGCAAATGACATTATTAAAGAGAAAAATAGAGAGGTATTTTTGTCAAAATATAATGCTTGAGTGATTTATACCTTTAAACATTCTAGAAATCGATTTCAATAACATTATTGTAAAAAAGTAAAAGCTAGTGGTATTTTTGACAAGAATGAAAAGTTTAGTAGTATTTTTGTTCTAACACTTAAATCCACCTTATACTTATCTGTTCCATAATATTTATCTAGTTTGACTTTTTATTTCAATAGCAATATTAAGTAAAATAAAACACATGTTTTTAATAAAGAAAATAACTCCTTCGGACTAGCAATTTTCATTTCATTTGACTTTTCCACCTTTCAATATAATTTTTTTCATTATTAATACCTATATTTGTACATAGATATGGAGTACATTTTATAGAAAATTATATTTAAAACTATGTTTCAAAATTAATCGATATTATATTTATAATATAATTCAACAATTTTTTTCATATATCAAGATTAAAATATACAAACTTTGATTAAGAAGAAGTCAAGTAGAAATTAAATTTTAAGACGAAGGAAGTAATATCAAAATACGGAGTATAAAATTCCAAAAATTTCAAAAAATAAAATTTTAAAAATTAATAAAAAAAATAATTATTTCAAATTAGTACCAAACAGAATTTACAACTTACACTCTTATTAGTTTATAATCATATTCATAAATCCTCCTACGATTAATTGAAAAGATTTTATAAAGATAAAAGACAAACAAGGAAGAACTGCCGGTATAAGTATAAAAAACTATGAAGATATTAAAATAAGAGTTTTAAGTTTTTTAAAACTAAAATAAAAGATCACACTACGACAATCACTATATTGTCACACTACAACTGCTATACTGTCGTCCGTGTCGATGGTTGATTGGTCACATGTCGTATTACATTATCATCACTTTTTCACCACAGTGTTAATGCGTACTCTTACATCACACTGTCATTATAATCATATTTTGGTATTAAAAGACTTAGAATTCATATCTTAGTATTTTCATGCTTCTTCACTCTTATCGAGAAAAATTTCTTAAATTGTCTAAATCTAAATACTCCGCAAGTACTATAAAAAAAGATGAGTAAATTTGTAACTGATGCTTTATATTAGGGTTTTTTTTATATTTTGTTCTTTATTATTAAATATTACATTCGTAATCCTTCTTTTATGAGTATATTTCCACGGACAGTTTTTTTCGTGACCTGTTATACTGTTGTTAAATTGAGAGCTAAAAGTAAAATTTCATACTGATCATATGTCCAGTGACGTATATTTAGGTCGTCGTCTTGATGGATAACACAAAAATAATGGTTATGGTTATGGACTTGGATTTTGACTAGAAACGACATCTACAGACTATGATTGTAGTAGACAACGACTAAGTTGACAAACGACGTATCAATAGTGACATCTGGCATTGGCTATGAGAACATATATATGATAATTGTGAAATAACACTTTTAGTTTTGAATTTATTACCAACATGATATCCGATTAAAAAAAGCAAAAATCTAAAGAAAAATGCATTCATAAAAGAATGACTACGAGTATAATACGGAGTTTTTAATAATAAAAAATGAAATTTAGAAATGATCCATTATAAATTTTATTCAAAAAAATTGTTCAAAATAACAAGTTCAAAAATACTCATGAGAAGTCCATCGCTGGGCCTGTGCGGTAGAACAGGCTGGATATGCTCTAGGCCCGCCATGTTAAGTTGCAATGTCTAAGGCACACCCTGTGGCAAATTCTAGAAAACCTTTAGTTGCATCTTCAAGACATGGTGTTGCTCGTATTTCTCGATGCATTGATTGCGGGGTATGTCATCAGCTTATGGTACAAATATCATTGTCTTCCTCAAGTTCTGAATTTTGTTACTCTATAACTTCCACCCACACTTGATGAGTTTTTGGAATATGATATATTCAAAGGAAATTTCAGGAGAATCTACGAGCTCTAATATCTACGGAGTATTAGTTATTTCACCTGTTAGCTGATTTTGCAAAATGATGCTTTTAACGAGTAGATAACGCCAATGAATTTTATGATTCAGGTGATGATTTTAAGTCTATGATTGTGCGCTTGTTTTCTGCAAGAAGGGGATGTCTTTTTGTTAGATCTGTACATTTGGGTAAGCCACTCTCACGCTTAAATGCAGAGGATGCTCAGTTCAGATCAATCTGTATGAATTTGAGGGAAAATAAATGGAAAACTGTGGAACAAATATGTTCTGGATTGCCCATGTCCGTCATGACTCGTGTTTTCGGCGAGTTCCGTAACTCTCCACAATCAATACTTGAGTTTTACAATAGGATTGGTGGAGCAAAAAGCATCTCTGATTCGCTTGAATGTAGTTGTGTCGTGCTTCGTGTGCTGGTGTTTTATAAACATTATGATGATGCTTTAGGGTTGATTAAAGAGTTGATGATAAAGAAAGGGGTTTTGCCTTTGGAACTTTTGGGAGGGCTTATGGATAGTAGGGATGTAGGTTGCAGGAATGATGCAGTATTTGACACACTAGTTAGGGCTTGTACTCAAATTAGGCTCACCGATGGCGGGTATGAGGTTATCAAGAAGTTGAGAGCTCATGGTTATATGGTTTCTATTCATGCGATGAATAATTTTTTGGATCATCTATCAAAGTTAGATGATAATCGTCGCTTTTGGACAATGTACAAGGACATGGTTTCTTGTGGCTACATAGAGAACGTGTATACTTATAATGTTGTCATCCATGCCCTTTGTAACGAAAGTAAACTGTTCGAAGCGATTTCTGTATTTTATCAGATGGTTAAAAGAGGAGTAGTGCCAAATGTGGTTTGCTTCAATATGCTATTAGATGCAGCTTGTAGAATTGGTGAACTTGATTTAGCATTCAAACTTGTAAAATACATGGGAATGATGTCATTAGGCTGGGTATTTCCAAACGCAGTCACCTATAATTCTCTCATTAATGGGTGCTGCAAGTTAGGGGGTTTAACCATTGCTGAAAACACTTTCGCTCAAATGATTGAGATGGGTCTTGAGCCAAATGTAAGGACATATGGAATATTGGTGGATGGCTACTCATGAAATGGAAAATTAGAGGACGCATTTATGGTGTGTCATAACATGATAAGTAAGGGATTAGTTCCGAATTCGGTTATATATAATACATTAATCCACCAGCTATACAAGAAAGGAGACGTGAATACTGCTTCGTGCTTACTTTCTGATATGATTAAGAGAAATATACCACAAGAAAAATTCACCTACTCGATTCTTGCCAAACAGATATGTCGAAATGGCCACACAAATGAAGTTCTCAAGTACTATACACAGATCATGGAAAACAACCTTGCAGAAGATGCTTGTTCGCACAACATTTTTATTGATCATCTCTGTAGAAATGAAAATACGCCGGGGGCTCAACAAATTTTTTGCAGTATGTTTGTTCGTGGACTGATTCCAGACCTCATCACTTATGGGACTATGATCAACGGATTTTGCCGGGTAGGCAAATTCGAAACTGCTGTTGAGGTTTATGATGAGTTGATAAACACAAAGAAGAATCCCAACTTAGTGATATATAACTCCATAGTTGATGGCTTATGCAAAGAAGCCTCTTTAGATGCAGCTAAAGCAATGGTTGATGCACTCAAAGAGACTTGTGTATATGATGTTGTGACATTTAATACATTGTTAAATGGGTACTGTATAAACGGGGAAGTTGAAAAGGCATTCCGATTGTTCTGCAATATGAGAAAAGGTGGGGTATTGATGAACAGAGTTAGTTACAATATCATGATCAAAATGATGTGCAAGTGTGGGCTCATTCAGCATGCCAAAGAAATTCTGAGTATGATGATTAAAGAGGGTATATGTCCTGACGGTGTCACTTACACAACAATGATCACAAGTGCAAACAAGATAAGCAGTTTAGATGAGGTTCTAAAGCTTCATGACTACATGGTTCTTCAAGGAATAATTCCAGATAGGGATACCTACAAGGCTGTTGTTAGCCCCCACTTGGTTAACTCAATGGTTACACCTTGTGAAAATCAGAGTACCAGTGTTCATGCCTGTGCTCTCAGGTTTTAAGAGTTGCAAAAGTGTTTAAAGTTGCATGAAATACCCTATGACTTCACTCCCATGGGGTGAGTGAACATGCCTGCGACCTCCTATTTGGAATCCGACTTATGCACCACATTGAAATTGCATTATGATGTACCTGGAAGTGGTTGGGTGTGACCGTGAACCTGGATTATGGAGAGAGTCTCAATGAATTCGTACAGCTATTACTATATACTTAAAGTGTAGGTGTTGACCTTGTTCGGCAATTAGAAACAAACAACGAAGTGTTTTAAAAAGGCTTAGAAAAGTGTTGAAAAGAAGTGTTCGGCAATTTGACTAGCCAATATTTTATTTTACTCCCTCTCTCACATTCAAACTTCACCATCTGTCTTTTAAAAAGGCTTAGAAAAGTGTTGAAAAGAAGTGTGATTGAAGTAAAGCCTGTCTTTTTATACTATCAAGTAAGTCTGCCTTTTTATACTTATTCGTTAAGTGACTTTTTATTTAATATTGTCTTCGAATCACTCCGGTGGGTGTCTTATTTGCACTTTGCAGGTTAAGAGCATCTCCAAATTTACACTATATGCAATATACTACTCATTTTTTAATACTCCAATGGATAGTGTAAATCAAATGCTAAAATAAATATTTCAATATTTAGTTTTAAACAATACTAAAAATATTATTAATAGATTGGTTAGATTATGCACATCATAAATGTGATTATAATTAAACCAAAAATTAAATATATTTATTATAAATAAATAACTTAAAATAACAAAATATTATAAAAATGTATTATGTAGAAGATATGGTTGGAGTGAGTATAAAAAATTAAATGTGTAAAACACCATTGACAATGTAAAATAAATTTTACACTGTCACCTTTTCCACTATGGGTTGAAGATGTAACATTAAAGACTTTGCTCATATAATAGACACTCCTACCGCAGGATTGGTGTGCCAAAACTACTCAGGATTGTTCAGGTGCCGACGTGGGATGTATTTAGTGCCAAACACAAGAGAGATATGAAGTCTATGAACTATAACTAGCCTTCTAAACATGCATGTACTAAGTGCACTCTGTTGTTGTAAACGATTTTTAGTGCATATCTAACATTTACTACGTTTTCTGAACTGAAATCGAAGTATCACTTAGGGTCTATTCTTTAGGTCCGGAAAAAGAGCTAGATACTGGAAGAAATGATAAGGAACTGGAAGAACGGGAAGAAACTGAAGGAACTGAAAAAATTGAAAGAAACTGGAAGAAGCTGAATGAAACTGTAAGAAATTAGATGCAATTGGAAAACTAGAAAAAATTGGAAAATCTAATTTTTTTAAAAAAAATTATCATTGTTATTAATTTATTTTTATAATTTATTATTATTATTATTATTATTATTATTATTTATAGTATTATTATTATTATTATATTCATAATCACATTATCTTAATAAATGTCTTTAAGATAATAAAAGTATTGTCATTTTTCATACACAAAAAAATCTACTTTCACATTTTTTAATTAGAATATAAAATTAGCATAAATATTTAAATGTTAAATTTTAAAAAGTTATTGTGATTACGTACACATCAATTTATTTATGCATTATTTATTATAAAATAATATACTTATAATTATACTTTATATATTAAAGAATTTTGTTTTAAATATAAGGCCTGTCATATAATGTGATCAAATCTATTTTTCCTTTTATGATTGACATTGTATTTGCACTGTAAGTTTGATTTTGAAAAATAAAAACATAGAACTTCTTATTTTTTTGTATATTTTAAATTTGATGTTTTCCTATTTTACCATGTAGATTAATAAATAAAAAAAATATTTTTTATATTAAAAAGTGGAAGAAAAATAATAATGAGTGTGAATTGTAAAAATAGTGACATGGAAAAAATAAAAATAATTTATAAAATATAGTTATAAACATAATAGTTGTAAAAATAATAATGATGATGATGATGACAATCCTAATGATACTAATAATAATAAAAATAATAAAATAATAATAATAATAATAATAATAATAATAATATAGTAATAATAATAGTAAGGGTTAAATATGTTTTAAACCCTCTAAAATAGGCAACTTATAAATTACTAATATATAACTTTTTAATGATTTTTACTTTTGATTTTCTCATATCTTTTTTTTCAAAAATCAAAAATTTTAAACTTTTTTATGTAATTTTTGAATTTTTTAACTTTTATTTTTATTTTTATTCTTTTTACATATATTATAAAATATCTTTCAAGAAAAACGATTAAAAAATAATTTTGCTAAAAGCCAAATTCAAAAGCTACTCCCATTGGCTTTTTGGATTTTGGCATTTTCGGATAAAAAAGCCAAGTGAAAATGTCATTAGCCAAACAATGATTTTGGCGGTTCGATAAGTCAAACAAGCAAAAGTCAGTGTAGTTTGAGCAAATACTTTCATGTTCGACACAAAGAAATAATAAGTACACTCTAGGAAGTCACATTCAAGAGGGTGAAAACACCGAAAGTAGAGTTGGTGTTGGAGTTCATAGTAATTATTAAGTGTTGAGGGTGATGATATTTATATGCCTACGCCACCTCGTGGTATTTATGAAGGTAATATTTATGGTAAGAACGAGAATAATGATGCTACAATGAATGCAATAAATGATGCATGGAAAGCGTTATGGAGTGAGTCTCTACCTAATAGTCCACCCATTGAGCAAGATGAGACAAGAAAGGGAAAACGAGCTTTTGAGGGTGAATCTTCACAACCTAATAAAAGCGCATGAACAAGCAATCCAAAATGGGGAAAAAATGAACACAGTCCAGAAATGTTTGGTGCCATAATGGAAGAAATAGCGAAACAAAATGAATCACTCAATGAAGTCACTACTTTGATGAAGGATATGATAAAAACAAATTCAAATGCTCACATATCAAAGTCTGATATTGAACAATGGCAAAGTTATGTTGTTTGGGCAATTTGTCTCACATATCTTCTGAGTTTTTATTTGCTTACTCCATGTTTGAAGGTCCATTATGGCGATCAATTTTCTTTTCGTTATGCGATGACACAAGTCAGGTTGTGTACATTAAGTTTATGTACAAGCACTTGGGGATGAGTTCCAATTAAAGTTATGTTATGTCATGTATTTTATTTCGTTCATTTGAAATTCTATTACGAGTCATACAATATGAACTTTTGTCTTTTGTCTTTTTTTGTAGTATTAAAATAGTTTAAATACATGCTTTGAAGTTTTTTGTGTTATTAATATTACTTTTTTAGTGGTAATCATATATATATATATATATATATATATATATATATATATATAAAGTAGGGTTTTATGCATGTGGTGTTGACACGTGTACCATGCAGCTGACACAGATGATTTTTGATGACTGAGCTTACTCTCTGCCACCACACATTCGAATGGACTCTGTAATTTGATTTAGTGCGTAATCCGTCTCCCTTCCATTGACCTTTCTTCTTTTTGCCTTCATCATTAATTAATTTCTTAGTCTATTGCGGTCGTCCGCTCAATTAATTTCTTAGGCGTCGCCTGGAGCTTCCAGATGGAGAAGAACACTGTACGCGGCCCCTCCTCCCTCGCCGGTTACTTCCGTCTCAGAAATCGGTCCAGCTTCCTGTCCTTCGTCTCAGAAATCAGCCCGTTGTGCGTCCCTCTCTCCGATTGAAGTCGTCCGTCTCCGATTGAAGATGCCTTCGTCTGGTTCCGTCTCCAGCTCCCTGATCAAAGAAAAGACCCAACGTTCAGGGTCCCCAGGCTCTACCTTTCTACAACTCCATCTCAACCCCCAGATATTATCTTTCTATTTGAAGACTTCCAACATATCACTGGCTTTTGCTATTTTTTTGCCTTATTATCTGAATTGCAAAATGCAAGAATCAAGATTGCACCCTATTTTTGCCTAATTTATGATTTATGCAGCCCCTATTTTATCTAATTGAATCTGACTTGATGATATGTGTTACTTTTCCAATTGTGCAAGTGTCATATTATGATTGATTGATTGCGAGGAAGTGAGGTGTGAACTGTGAGAGGGGCTCCCCATTTTGTCTTTATTTTCCTTTTCTTTCTTTTTAAATGTTTTTTTTTTCAAATTTCTGTTCAATCGGTTGACGCTGAGGAACGTGGAAGAGTTGGAAAATTGCTGCAAGGAGCCACAAGTTTTTCCAAACATCAACCCGGTTTGACCTTCCAATATTTGGTGATAGAGCCTTCCAATATTTGGTGATAGAGGAAAAAGCTCCTTAGAAGTGATCCAAGATGTTTTTAATTGGTTTGGTTTTGAAATAGCATGTTAATGTTGTTCTTGGTGAGCTGATATTTCATAGCTACCCAGTTTACTTCTTTATCTTCTTGAGTTGTATTTATGCTTCTTATTTTTTAAATTCATCTACTTTTTTTTAAATGCTGACACACTGGTCGCATAAACAGAGAAGTAAGGAGAAATCAATGACACGGGTGGAGGACAAACGGATGTTCAAAGAGGCCATTGTAGCTAATAAGAAAAGCATCTTCAAGACTTTTCCTCTTAAGGTATAATTAAATTTCCAGACACAAAAGTCGGCGTCCTCCCTCTTGAGAAATAATTTTGCTACTATTGTCTTTAAACTTTTTCTTATTCTGCTACAAAATCGTAGGTCGATTTTGTAAACTTTTTCTATTGAAACTTTTAAAATAAATTTTAAACTTTTAGTTTAACTCTTACAACGAATTCTAGGGCTGGACGTGCATTTTAGGAGTTTAAATAGATGATGTAGCTTCGCAGAGGTAGTTCTTAATGTTCAACTTTTTGGTAAGAGGAGTGCTATTGTGAGTTGATTGTGGCGATAAGATAATTTTTTTACAAACCCTCTAGGTTTTGATTGCACGACAAAATTAAGAGAAGGGTTCACTTTTGATCAGCATAATCTACTTTCTTTAGTGATTCAATTAACAATTATAATTGCTTAATATTTGAATTCTGGTTTGCAGAGCAGGTCTAAGGGTTCATCTTCGACTTCCACAGCACATGGTAAATTCACAGTGATACCTCAGAGGCTCAGAATCCTTGTGTTTGCTTGTGATTAATGTTGATTATGTTTGAGTATATATTCATTTTTTTTCTGATTATGCCTGAGAGTCTGTTTTCTGATTTTCAGCATCTTCAAATGAGCCTGTAGCTTCATGTTATATGGTTGGAGCATTAGGTGGTTCAGCTACTGGTTCATATCAAATTGGCTCCACAGTACATAGTTTAGATGAAAGTCCTAACTGGATTATTCAGGGAAATGGTAAGCTCTGTTCAGATGCTGTTAGTGCCTCAAAAAGTGATTTATCTAATATCAGAACCCCATTAGCATCAATTACAATAGAATCTTCTGCAGCAGAATTTGATATGCCTTCACGGGCTGCACGTCTATCTGCCTCCAGTCAAGCTCAGAATTTGATGCCATTTGATCTTTTAGTTCCTGAAAAATGACGTATTCGAAGAACTTCCTGCTCCGATATCAATTGTTAGACAAATGTGCAACTCTAGAGGGAGGGGGGTGAATAGAGTTGTTTTCAAGAATGTGCGTTTTTCGCGTGTGTGAAATAATAAAATCGCAGGAATAAATAAAGAGAGTAAGGGAAAGAAGAACACCGAGATTTATACTGGTTCACCACCTCGTGGCTAGTCCAGTCCTCCGAGAGACTCTCTCGAAAGTCCTACTAATCTTTAAGCTTCAACGGGTGCTTGAAAAACTGGTACAACTTGAGAACTTGAATCACACAAGCCTCACTTTCTTACAACAACAAGACTTGAGTCACACAAGTCTTAAGAACAACACTCAAATGAGATTGAGTTTACAACACAAGAATGAAAGCTCACACAATTGAGCAAAGTAGTGTTGAAGGATTACAGCTCTATGGATGACAACTTCTTTAGCACTCAAAGAAAAATATTTCTAACTCTCAAAAAATAATATTTGATGAGGAAGATCAAGCAAGGAATGAATATAGCTCAAAGGATATATTAGAGTGCAAGAGTAGTATATAGAAATGGAGGAGAATGAAGGATTAAATAGGCTGAGGATAAAAGATCCGTTGGAGCCACTGAAAAGAACTAAGAATAGGCACCAGACAGAATTAATCGATTAACTTAGGGACTTTAATCGATTAAAGTGTACAGAAGCGAAAAGGCTTGAATGCAAAGGTGGAATTAATCGATTAAAAAGGAGAGAAAAATCGATTAGCTTGCTCTAGAAATTTAATTGATTAAGTCTATTGGCCTGAGAAATCCAGCGCTGAGAAATTGGATCTAATCGATTAATTTAGAAAATTTAATCGATTAAAGTGAAAATAATGCGCAAAAATGAAGGGCCCAAGCCAAGTGCGATGAGAAGGGCATTGGCTTTATATTCGTTGTTTGAGACAACTAGAATAACAGGAACGCTCCTCAAAAAAATAATATCCCTTATTCAATGAATTTGAATAGGGGAGAAAAAGTGAGTCCAAAAATTATTTTGTGTGTCAAACGATGTACAAAAAATATTTAAAATGTATTTTTCTTATCATAAAAAAAATGTGTATCCAAAAAATATTTTAAAGAAATTTTGACACACTATTTTGAAACTGACTCAGTAAAATATTTTTAGACAGAGGAAAAATAATTTTTCAACTGACTCAGAAAATAATAATTTTTATCTAAAAAAATTGTTTATGCAAAAGTTGTTGTCATCCTTACAAAAATTCCTAGATTCAATAAATAAAAGGTCTTCAGAATCTTCACTTCACTTCAAAAACTGTGTAGGGGTGAGCGTTGATTTTATCATCAAAACATCTTGATACGCCTCTTTGCTTTTCTCGATACGAAAAAATAAATTTTCGATGAGCTTGAATTTAATCATCCTGTTTGTCATTCATCAAAACAGAAAAAATATATTCTAGAAGAAATAGTAAAGGGGTTTGAACTCAAGAGGTTGAGGTACCCAAGCTATTAAATAGCAGCACAATATAAGACTGCATAGCCGATGTGGGATGAACAAGTCAACACGCCCCCCTCACACGAGGCGCAAATTACTGCAGGCGTGGTCCCAACATCAATGGCTTAGCTCCGATACCATGTTGAAACAATAGACTTGGGCCCAATTCAACCCCAAAAGTTAACTCAAGAGGTTGAGGTACCCAAGCTATTAAATAGCAGCACAATATAAGGCTGCATAGCCGATGTGAGATGAACAAGTCAACACTTTGTTTTATCAACACATGGGCTGGGAAGACCTTTTTTTCCATGCTTTGATATATGATATTAACAATAATAAAAATATGGTATTACAGCTCATGCGAGTACTGCTAGAGGTTAATTAAAGTGAACAGTGGATTTTTTTGTGAAAGAGATGTGAGAAGATGGTGGATGAAACTGTACCCATGTCAGTTTCATTTGATATAGTTGTTCTTAGTGTTCCTTTATAAGTAGATTAAATATACTCTGTCTTACTATAACTTCCTATCCTCTTAAAAGAATACGCATAAGTATGTAAGGATTGTTATACTCAGCTTAAAGAGAACTCTTTAAGATATAAAGCCGTCTGTATGGGTTTAGGGAGAAAGTATTTTGGTTTGGCTGCAAAAGCTTTTGATGGCTTTGGAAGTCCTTGCAAGATTTTTTTTGTTTAAAACATTTAATTCTTCAAATATAATACTTTTGTTGATTTGTTTCTCATTAATGCTCTTTATTTAAATTTAATAATTTTTTATTTATGTTTTTGTTTGTTGTTCAAAGAGATTATGAGTATTAGTTATTAAATTTCCAATTATATTCTTTTGTTGTTTCAAATGAACAATGATGATAAATTCATAATTTAATTAAGTAATTTGTAGTTTAATTTGCATCTTTGTTTCCTTTCTGTCTTGGTGTTCAATGAATAATATTTTTATTTTATTATTATATTATGAAATTTAGCCTTAGGAAAATTTGTCACGAGGTATTACAGTTGGGTTTAGAATTTTTGTTAGTTTCGAGATCATTCTTCTAGCAATATTTTATGCTAATATTCCATTATTCTTAGTTTTCTTGCTTTAAAAAAATGTTCCATTATTCTTAGGTTTTTGTTTTTGTTGTTGTTGTATTCCATTGTTATTGGTATGAAATTATATCCATTGCGGAATTCAATATGATTTTATTCGTGTCAATGCCCCTACTCCCTCCTCAGGCATTTGTCTTATAAGGCCAGTTCTTGAAGAACACTTTCTATTTTTGTAGTCAATTACTAATTTTTCATTTGATTATCTTTCAAATAATACCACTAGAATGTTTGGATAAACTTAATTAATGATAAACTTCCGTCCCCAAATATTTAATTAATAGAATAGTGTGGGTGTTTGATTCCATAAGTCTGGTGATTTTCCTGCATTATATTGAATTTACACATTTAATTTGAGTTTTCTGCTGACATTTTAAGCTACTTCTTCATATTCTTAGCATTTCCTTAAGCTAAATATTTTTTAGCAGAAAGTCAACAACGACTAAGATTTCTGGCCCCTTTGGTTTCTAATGGCGATTAACAAGAAGAGGGCAAACTATTGCCATCCTATCTAGGTTAATATTCAT